AAATGGGCTAATGGCTCATGACGTAATTAATTGGTCATACATTTTTTTATAAATGTTGTTACACCTTAGAATAACAAAGCCCAATTATATATCAATTATCAAACTATCTGTTTATTGCCGAAGTGTCATGGCACTCCCTTCTTTTTTCCTGCAAATCAACGTTGTGACTACGCCCGTCCCATTCTGGTTGTTTAACAAATATAAGGAGGCTCTACGTAGAGCAGCTTATTACTCATCATCACTAGCAGAAAAAAAGAACAATGTCAGGTTTATTTTCAAACCTGGCTGACACAGAGCCACAGATCTATTTAGCCTTCTATTTTCATATCACTAAGTAGTAATTACTTCATGTGTTTTTATAAAGGTGAAATTATAGCTCTTCAAAACTAAATTAACCACCTCCTGCTCCAAACTGATACAGAGTTATTTTCGACCACCAATATTTATCAAACTGTTGATATGTATTTACTTTTGAACAATTTCTTAATTGAAACCACAAAAATCTGTCTTTTTCGTCAGGTAGATTTAAGACACATATCTAACCTTCCCTTTCTCACTAAAATCCTTGAGAACGTAGTTACTTAACAGTTGTGTAATTTGCAAAAAAACAATCATTTATTTGAAGAGGTTTAATCTGTCTAAGTGCTTCATCCACAGATAAAGTGCTGGTGGGTGTCACACATGGCTTCTAATTGCATCAGACTTTCATTCAAGGACTTTTTTAATCTTGTTTCTTGTTCTTTTTAAATCTCATTTTAGCATTTGGTATTATTGAACACGACATTCCATTACAGAGACTAAAACATTGAAATGGTGAAAAAGGAACCACACCAAGCCAATACATATCCTATTCATCTCAATGGTCTCAGTTTGTACACGTCAACAATGAATCCTTCATTCATAACAAAGTTAGGGAATATTATAAGGAATCATTCCACTTCAAACATTCATTGTTTGAAGTGTGGATGATACTCAATTATATCAATCAAGCCAAATCAAACCAAACCATTACTTAATTGTGGTCCAATAATGCTGGGTTATTAGTGTTTCCAATAAGTAAAATAGGTTTAAGACTTTCCTTTTTTAATAAAGCTTATAGATAGGTCTTGCTCAGGCTTGTATCAACCCTTAGTTATGATGCTATAAGCTAACGGCCCGTCTACACTACAGGCGTCGAAAAAGCTTGAAGCTGGGCGTGTCTGAGGCTTGGCGATTTTTTGCGACCAACAACCAATCACATGAATCTCCCGCCCCCGACATACAAAGCAATAGCAATGTTAAAACGAAGTAAACTGGATATAAAATCCCCAAACAGGCGAAAACCTACCAGTCACCCACTGTCTCTGCCCAACCCAGTCTCACGGCATTTCGTGTTCACCAACACGATTTTTAATCTATTGATTCGTGTTCACCAACACGACTTGCCCCTTTTTTTCGTGTTGCACAGCACGATTGTTTTTCGTGTTGCACAGCACGATTTTAAAAGCAATGTATTTCTACTGCCTGCAGCACGTCTTTTTCTCCGGTCGGGTCGAGGAAGACCAGAAGCTGTGTGGTTCATAAAAACATGTTTTTACTCAATATCAAGCCACAATTATTGCTTTTATTTTAAATCGTATAATGTCGGACTTTTGTTGCCGTCTCTGAGGAAAATAAATGGGGCTCAGAGCCTCAGAATACTGAAATCTGTATTTTTTAAATCTTTTTTTCCTTCTAATTTGTTATTCTTTTCAAAATAACACACTGTTATTTACTCACCAATAACACACAATTATCCTTGCTTTTATTTATTGGTTTAATTCCATAATCTCGGGCTTTTTTGGCGTCCGTCAGGAACTGAATTTCAAAATAAAATAACCGGAAACAGACGTAGGCCTATAAGGGACAGTTCGAGCACCATCGACTTGGCGCTGTCATCGAGGTGAGGATGGCCGAAGACACTACACTACCCATAATCCCCAGCTATCGTTTAGGACTACAGTCCCCGTGATTAAACTTCAAGTCGGGATTGGATGTTGGATTGGCAGTGCGTCAAGGTTACGGAATCGAAGCTGGATCGAACGCCCCCCCCCCCAAAAAAATGTTCTATGGGGCGTCTCTATTGGGAACGTTTTCGTTTTTCCAACAATTAGAAGTTGCCAGTATTAAACACCAATTATTAAACAATTGAAATGAACCGATTAAACATCTCTCTGACACAGTTTAAACGCATTTCAAGTGGAAGAATTGTTCGTGTCTCCTCTTCGTGTCCCGGGAAGCCGGAAGCTGTATTATTTTCAAAAAATAAAAAAAAATGTTTTAACCATAACAGCTACTTTACACAACATTGATTCAAACTTATCCTTGTTTTAATCCTTGTTTTATTTATGTTAAATTGTTGTTGTCGGTTAATTTTCCATTTTATTTAATTTGGTTTAAGATATCATTAGTCTTTTTTTATTATTATCATGCTAGATGTTTAAACTTTTCTGTATTTTATAAGACAATATATACTTTTTTGTCCGTAGGCTATTTAGGTTATTCAAGAGTTATCGTGTCAAAATATAGGAAATGTATTAATATTTTATTGTATAATCGGTACAGGAAATTACATAATTCAGAGAACCACCTATTGGCCAAAGACCGCTGCCACCGGCATTGCAATCCATCCTCTGACAAAGTAAGTTGTGTCACTAAAGTCTGATGCATGTTTTGCTTAGATTTAATAATTGGGGCTTTTTTTAAGCCTTCACTCGTATGGTTCATCATCAGGGTCGGCTCTAGAACAAATAAAATGGGGGGGCAATCATTTACCAAGGGGGGGCACATACTGCCGTCAACAACCAACACACAAACACCAACGTAACTTCAATTAAAAAAAATATGCTGTAAAGTTTATTGTCTTTCACACACATTGCAGGGGTGTAGTGCTATTTTATAGCGCACCTATGACTTGTGCATACATGCACGGTTGTGGCACGATCACCAAAACAGAAACATATGGACATAGGCCACCATATAAAAAGTGTGCAAATGTATTTAGTATCCTATCCATGTGAACATGTTTTAGGTGGGGGGTGGACCTAACCTCCTCTAGGAGGGTCCGGGGGCATGCTCCCCCGGGAAGATTATTTTTAAAATATTGAAGTTAAAAGCATCAATCTGGTGCACTTTGAGAGCAAAATGAAGAGATCTATGGATACATCTCTCAACATCCATATGAAACAGAACTGTACACAGATTTACTTTTTCTTTATGTATATTTTACTAATCACTCCCCTTTTAAATGGTATTCTTGTGTTATTGTCCTATAGTATTTCATACCCGTTTTTCATTTATTCTCTTATTCTTTAATAACTATAATGATCATATAAAGGTAGCCTATTCCTCGCAAATACTTGTTTACATAAATGGTCACCAAACCGTTTCAGACCCACTGAGATAACTTACACTAAAGTGAACTATCTAAACACTGAGAGTCCTTTACCTCACTGAGCTGACGTTATAAGATCCTCTCAGTCTGACAGGAGAGGACTCTCCTCCACCTTTGTGTAGAAACAGCTCTTTATATCCGTTAGCATAGCTAGCTAACCAGATGCTAACAACAATATTCCACGTTACCGCTCGCGCACTGACAAAATGCGCTCGTGCCACACACAGAGAGCCGAGCTTGAATGAAACAGAGACCCATGTACTTGTACTGTACTGTATATCATATTATTTTCGATGGCTTACTGTATAATCAGTGTAACAGATGGACAGATCGCCACTGGGCTTTCATCTAAACACACAGCCACGTAATGATAACAAAACAAAAGTCGGGGTCATTGGTCAAGCAACACACCAATCAGAGAGCAGCAGTGAGCACACCTCAGGCTGTGTTTCATATAAAGAATAAATAAAGAATACAAATGTGTATTCTTTATTTCTGATGTATTTCACACAAAAAACTTTTGGTGGAAACGTTTTAACTTATATGATTAAAACAAAAAAAACGGCAAAGTGGCAATAAGGCTTGCCCACCCTGCGTTGGGGGGGGCACAGTGACTCATTTGGGGGGGCATGGCCCGCGAATGATCCCCCATGACGCCGACCCTGTTCATCATACATAATGAACTGTTCGAAGTCTGAGAAATGCTTTCGCCATAATCAGCAAAGCAACATTAATGTGAAATAATTCTTGCGGGCGGCTAGCTAGCTAGCTCACGTTCAACATAAACTTAAACTAGTTTAGCTACATTTATATCAGCTCATAAGTGGTGTGTGAAAAAATATTTGTCTTAATTACGGCTGCATACGTCGGTGTTAAAGTGTGAGATACGTTATCTTAATCGCTTTTGTTTTACACATGACTACTAACGCTGGCCGACATTTTAATATATGTTTGGGGGGAGGGGCATAGTCCATGTGCACGTCCATGTGCTTGTTACGCGTATGAAACAGGAAACACGTAAATGAACTCAGTCTGTCTAAAGCAGTGTTTCTCAAACTTTTTCATACCAAGGACCACTTAACCAATAAAAAAAACACTCGCGGACCACCTAATATGGAATGTCATTTAAGCCAATATTAAATAAATAAATATATACATAAATAATTAAATAAATACATATATATATAAATATGCCTATGAAATAAATTATAAAATAAATAAATTAGGCAATAAATATGTATACATGTACATTTAAATACACATTTATTTATTTCATGGGACTTTTATTTCATAATGACACATTTATTTATTTCAAGAGACTTGTATTTCATAATGACACATTTATTTATTTCAAGAGACTTGTATTTCATAATGACACATTTATTTATTTCAAGAGACTCGTATTTCATAATGACATATTTATTTATTTCAGATGACTTGTATTTCATAATGACGCGTTTCTTTATTTCAAGAGACTCGTATTTCATAATGGCTTATTTCATGTGACTTGTATTTCATGATGAGACATTTCCATTCCTTATATGCAAATGAACGGGGCGTGGTTAGCTCACAGGTCCAGAGACCCAGACCAAAGCAACAGCACCACACTGACTACTCGAGAAGAGGAAGAAAATGGAGGAGAAGGACTATATAAGGCAAACTACTAAATGAAAATAACAACATGGAAGACGTCGGTGGGCTCCAAGACTTAACTGGTTCTTATCTGGTCTTCTCTGGTCCACCCAATGCTGCTCTTCTGAGAGCAACCGCTCTGACAGCTCTCTCTAGTCTCTACTGGGAAACAGCTAAAAGTCCTTCTGGAGGTAAGCAACGCTACACAATTACACCCAGTCTGAGAGTAAAATATGTCTCGAAGGTTCGTTTTGTTTTCTTACAACGTTAAGTTAATGTTAACGTAACCTTACGTTTGCTAGGAGGCTATCGGTACGAGCTAGCTGTCTTAGCTAACAACAGTTAGCAGCTAACGTTTTCTGCAGTTTGTGTTGCCCCTGAAAAACGTGATGTAGTTATTTAAGGGTATGTTAAATTAACGTTATTTTACAAGTTGAGAGAGTTAAGTTGTGTTTAAAATCGTCAATGTAATGCACTTTAGAGGTTTTGTGTTGGACATGAAGTTAGCTAACGTTAGCTAACTCCACCAGGTTAGCATGTTAAGCTGTACTTTTTGTGGCAGCTAGCTTAATACAAAGAGGGGTTTTGTGCTTCATTGCAAACTTTTCTTTGTTAATCTACCTGAAACTGTAGGGACAGTTTGTTTCTACTCAACTATACAGACCATTGTTGAGGAGATGCAAAACATACTGTACATGAGTTGGGTCCAACATATACATTGAGTAATGTTACTTTGCTGCTAAAAATGAAACATCATTATCAGATGAGGACATCACCAAAGTGTGTGAGCCTGTCAGGGGATTTGATCTGTTCTCTGCATGTCCTAAACACTGCTCTGGTATTACTTATCTTGTAACATGTAAGTCTCCCGCTCTTGTCATCTTTCAGGCTTTGCATTTGAACTCCTATGACTGGTTGCGGACTTAAAGGGAACGCCTTCCTGACATCCAGGAAAAAGGTGAGATTATAATACATTTGAATGCCAAAAGCAAGTTATTGTTAACTTTTGAAATATGATTGTTTTGGGGCATTTCAGTTTTATTGGACAGGCAGTAGAGATCTACTGGAAACAGTGGAGAGGGAGGAGATGATATGCAGCATACGGCCCAGCCGGATGGTTGCTGCTCCGTGTGGAACGTGTCCTATCAGGTAAAGCACTTTGGTACCCAGTTATTTATGGTGTTGAGTTTGAATTTAGCTTTTGGAATGTAATTTCCAACTGCATTGTAAAGACTGAAAAAACAGCCTCAGGTTAAAGCTTGACATGATTTGGTCTTTTACTTAAGAAGATGTTTGTCCTCCTGTGTTGTCTTATTTCCTTATCTTTCTTTCAGGTGTAACATCTACCAATGGTTGTACATGACAGAGACCTCCTCCGCCTCTTTGCTGTCTTACTAGTCAATCCTTCTGATCAGGTCCTTTCCTAAATAGTGGTTTTACAGTTCAGTGTACGTTAATTTAGTAACTTAATGCTTTACCGCTGTTGAATAAATCCTATATTGCTAGTCATTTTATTAAAACTACGATTTGTAAACTTTTTGATTCCAAGTACAATAATCTTTTTGTTATAATTGTAAAACATATCTTAACATCCATCAGCAATCAATACAACAAATCATCCAACACTAAATAGAAGAAATCTGGACATATTTCTTTTTATACAGCAGCATGTTTTGGGACTGCTCATTGATGTCATCAAGAGCCATTGAGTCTACCTTTTGTAGTCGGCCTCTCAGAATGTTTATCATTTATTTGTATTTTAACATTCCTATAATAATTAGTTTTTTTATTGTTTTGTTCTTTATTTTTGTTGTGAGAATCACTTTGCAATTATTGTGTAAGTGCTATATAAATAGTTATACTAATATTATTGTTGTTACTATTATTAATAATGTCTTCTTTGTTTTCTTTATTCATCGCTGCAGAAAGGATCATGCCAGCCCACATCAAACACCTGATCAAGAGCTTGTGAACCTCACTGCTGCAGACACCTGTGTGATATTCCACTCTGACTGGAACCCTCAAAATGACCTGCAGGTACAATATATATATATATATATATCTGCTCTGTCCGTCCTAAAGATAGTTCAATAGGGCTACAACAACAACAGTCTTTCCGTTTATTCCCTCGGTTCTTTAAGTATATATTTTCCCATTTAATGCTTAAAAACGTTGAACAGCAGCTGTACATGATGCTCTTTTGACCCCTCTTTTAATTTTTTATTTCAGGCTCAAGCTCGGTTCGTCATCGTTTTGGCCAGTCTAAGGCAGTGGAGGTGTACCGTCTGATCACTAGAAACTATGAGAGGGAAATGCTGGATAAAGCTAGTCTGAAGCTCGGGCTGGACCGTCCCGTCCTGCAGAGCATGAGTGGCAACAACAACGGGGTGAGAAAAAGAAAATCTGTCATATTTCTAGATGCCAAGTCATTTTTGGGTCAGTCGTTGTTGCAGTACGCTTAGTTTATTTTCAAAAAGAGTTTTCTAAATCCACTTGTGTAATTGTCTCTCTGCGTCGCCTTTAGCCGGTCCAGCAGTTCTCCAAGAAGGAGATCGAGGAAAGGAGCCTACGCCGCCATCATGGACGAGAACGACGAAGGCAATCGCTTCTGCTAGGAGGACATCGACCAGATCCTGCAGCGAAGAGCCACCATCATCACCATCACCAGGTATGTTCTTATTAGCACTAGCCACTTGCGCTTTGTGTTGGTAACCAAGTACTTGGTTATTTGAAATGTAATATTGATGATGTAATAATTAAAACTAGGGATGGGTACCGAGCCCCAGTATTAACGGGGCCCCGGGGCTGAATTATTAAAGACCGTGGTACCGTTAACGTCCAATGTTATCAATCTGTTTATCGTTACGGGAGACATTTAAAAAATAGATGTCATATTATATCTACATAAACATTATATCGCAGTCTTACTGCAACTCCGTTTCTAATATGCAATAAGACTACAAAGTGCGTCTATGATTTATTTTCGATCTTTCCAATCCAGACGAGATCTCTCTCCCCTGTCGGTGTGCGAGGGGGTGGGGCAGTTTACACACAGAACCTGCTACATGCATGCAACACACACACACACACACACACACGTGCGCACACAAACACATGGCGGAGAGAACTAAGCGCCCCGAGGGTAGTTATGTTACCCGTCTTGAGCATGGATGTTTAATAAGAACTGGATACAGCATCGGAGGAGGGGCCTCGTTCTTTCCTATGAGAGCTGCTCATTGGCGCATGAAGTCAAAATGGCCCAACTTTTGAGAGAGCGAAACGTCACAGATTACCCGTCATGCCTGGCTGTCAGAGCAGAATAACCCGTTTGTGCGCTCACAGAGCATGCGCCCCTTAAGCCCCGCCCCCCGAGCCCACACTCTCGGCTCACTAGAAAGAATGGAGAGAGAGAATAAATCTAGATTCGGCTTTTAGTGCATTTTACAACTTTAAGAACTTAATGATTCTAGGGCTATACAATAGTTCATACTGGGTAGTTTATTTAGTTTCCAAAAAATTATCCACCGAGTTACAGGCGTCTCTTTCCCAATGTTAGTCAATGGGAAAAAGTATTTCTGGGCCGGTCGACGTCACAGACTGATAAGGAAATTGTAGTACCGCCGTTTGGACACAACGAATATTTTCCTCAGAGTCCGGCACACTTCCTGGGGGCTTGGTCTTGAGGTGGAAAATGCTCGTTGCCAATAGTGCAATAAGAATTTAGCATGTAAGGGCGGTAACACAAGCTATTTGTCTAAACATTTAGCAAAAGTGCACCACATTCAGACGGAGGAATGCACCGGGTTCGACTGTCTTTCTAGTAGCTCTGTAGCCCCATCCACGAGTAACGTTTCCACGTCAGGTATATATTATGTATGCTAGCAGCAACACACAGTTAACTCAATGATACAAACATGGGTTAATGATTAGAGGTAACTGAGTTATTTATTTTGTTAAAGTTACAGCTATTCTGTTTGCAGTTCTATCATCACATAATTGAATAAGATTTGTTAAAACATTGTTGTTTCTTATTTTCAGTTTGCTTCAAGCAGTGGCTGCACGAGAAAGACGTGGAGGACCAAGAAATGCTGGCCAGATTGGCAAAGACCGGAAGATACATAACAGAGAAGATAATGGATATTAACAAGAAAAAGAAAAACATTTTTTATAATTTCTTTGTTGCTGTTTACATTTTGAATTATATTTGTTATTTTTAAATCAAATGCATCTTTTTTAGATGATATATTTATTTAGATGTAGGTTTTTTTGTAATATTATTGTATTAAGTATAATTTATTAAATAAAAATACTGTTATGAACACTATACAATGTCTTTATTTTGATAGTTACCAGAATACATTGTATATTTAATACTAACATAAGCTGGTGATAGATAAATGCTGGTCTGCTGGTATGCCAGCAGACAAATATTTATAAAGACAGGGTATGGCTGGGGTAGGCTACACCCATACCAAGAAATGGCTTAGCCCCACCATGAAAAATGATGTTAAAGTAAGCAAAATAAAGTCCGCCAACTCGCGCGGAGTAAATTGCACAGACAGCAGTTAGTAAGATTGATTTCAGCAGCCACTTGTCTGGAAATACGGAAGACCAGAAACGGTTTTGAAAACTTTTGTCACGTAGTGATCGTCTTCCCAATAGAACATCTTTGATAATGTCTTCTGGCCAATCAGAATCAAGATAACGGCGTGGTGTTGTTGCAGGAAGTCCCGACGGAGAATACTTTAGCTGTAGTACAGGTAACACATAACTGGTACGCAGGTTATGTGCGTAATCTGAAATGCGTACCGTCACTTGTGTCACAAAGCGCATTTGCGTACCGACGTACTTGTGAAGCTTTTCCAGAAGGCGGTTAGATCACCGGACGACAGAGTCGGTCTCCGTGTTCACAGACAGGGCTGCTGTTAACGTCGGCCTGTACAACGGAATTGTGCCAAAACTACGCCAACCGGCTGCGGAGGGAGACTCCTCCCTTCACTGGAGAACTGCGCTAAAACAGCTGATCACAACGTTCACACTCTGTGGTCACGAAGTACCCCACTCCACTAGCGCCATCATAGATACGTCCATGAGTTAAGAGATGGAATGATATGATGATTCACACTCATGTACAGTAGGTGGCGGTATGCACCTTAAAGTTGTTTGCAATCCGCCAAAAAACCGAGAGAAGAAGAAGTCAACTGGTTTGCCAACGGACAATTTACACCGAAGAAGAAGAAGCGAACATTTCTGGCGGGTGAAATTTAGAGTATCAGATTACATGCGATGTCTGACTCTGAGAATTTAGTAGTTTGCCTTATAGTCCTTCTCCTCCATTTTCTTCCTCTTCTCGAGTAGTCAGTGTGGTGCTGTTGCTTTGGTCTGGGTCTCTGGACCTGTGAGCTAACCACGCCCCGTTCATTTGCATATAAGGAATGGAAATGTCTCATCATGAAATACAAGTCACATGAAATAAGCCATTATGAAATACGAGTCTCTTGAAATAAAGAAACGCGTCATGAAATACAAGTCATCTGAAATAAATAAATATGTCATTATGAAATACGAGTCTCTTGAAATAAATAAATGTGTCATTATGAAATACAAGTCTCTTGAAATAAATAAATGTGTCATTATGAAATACAAGTCTCTTGAAATAAATAAATGTGTCATTATGAAATAAAAGTCCCATGAAATGAATAAATGTGTATTTAAATGTACATATATACATATTTATTGCCTAATTTATTTATTTTATAATTTATTTCATAGGCATATTTATATATATATATGTATTTATTTAATTATTTATGTATATATTTATTTATTTAATATTGGCTTAAATGGCATTCCATAACCTAACTCCACAAATATCCAAAAACACATCGTTTTTTACAAATCGCCTGAAAATTGTACAAACAAGTGGCAACATGTGTGATGAAGGTGCTTATCTGGGCTATATCATGCAATCGAAAGTGAAACTTAAACTCGTTCCATTGCGGAGATATTCCCGCGAGAGTGCGGAAAACTTAAATACATTTTTTTATTTCAAATGTGAAATGTTATCAATATACTCACGGACCACTAGGGGGCGCTCACGGACCACCAGTGGTCCGCGGACCACACTTTGAGAAGCACTGGTCTAAAGCATGGATGTATAATAAGAACTGGATACAGCGTGGGAGGCGGGGCCTCATTAATTCCTATGAGAGCTGCTCATTAGCGCATGATGATAAAATGGCACAACTTTTGAGAGAGTGAAACGTCACAGATTACCCGGCATGCCTGAGAAGTACCCGTATGTGCGCTCATAGCGCATGCGCAACTTTAACCAAAATGCTCGTTCACATCAAGCACGTCAATTTGCGTACACGTAACAGCACCGCGTGTTCATGACAGCATGGTAATGATCTGTTATTAAGATGGATTTGATATTAACGAGGCGGCAGTTAGCAGCTAGCGGCTAGCTAGTCATTATGCTAATGTACACATCAATCGTTATGTACTTATATTACGCTGTAACAGGATCTAGTGATATCCAAGCAACAGAGCTTCATTTAGCATGAAAGAATGATTGCACTGTATATATATATATATATATATATATATATATATATATATATATATATATATACTTATAATAAGTCATATTAACTTTATTTAATACAACATTTATGGTACACGATTTAATCATACAGCCCATGTAGTATGATAATGAATTACAGCAAACATGTGCAATATATCCATTATTACAGCTCCGTGGGATGGCAGTAAGACGATATGGATCCGTTCTTATTGTGCATCCATGGGTAAAGATAAACGCAACTCACATTGGTTTTTCAAACAGCATCTCTGTAAACTACGTGTATTCACTGAATTTCACTCTCTGCCTTTAACGGCTTGTTGTAGCTCCAATAGCTCCAGCCCCCACCCTCCCTGTGAGCACAGTGTGCTCTGATTGGTCGAGACACGTAACATGAACGTGCCGGGCGGCGCGGTCCCGTGGGTTAGATGCGCGTTCATAATGCAGAGGGAAATAACTCTCAGAATAACGTTATTAGCACATTATTACAACTTGAGGAACGAATTTTTTTAATAAGGGCTATACAAGTGTTCATACTGGGTGGTTTATTTAGTTTTAAAAAAATTATCCAACGATTTACAGACCACTCTTTCCCCATGTAAGTCAATGGGAAAAAGTGTTTCCGGGCCTGGCAACCAAACGGAAGTGTAGTACCGCCGTTTGGCCAGCACGAATATTTTCATCTGAGTCCGGCGCACTTCCTGGGGGCTTGGTCTAAAGTAGTTAAACCGTCACAATGTGCATTTAAAAAAAGCTAGTTTCTCTACATAATTCACTTTTTCTGTTCTCTCCTGCAGCTCCTGTACCCACACCATAATAAAACCAACGGCACTTTTAAGAGCCAAACTCAACCTATCTCACTATCTCCTTATCTAGCTCTCTTATATCTATCATCTATTTCTTTATTCACCCTTCTATCTATGATGTGTACTTCTCTACTTTCCTGTGTTTCTCAGTCTGTCTGTTTGTAATCCTGTGTTAATCATGCCAGGTGGGTCTACAAAAAAGACATGTCCCTTCTGTCAGAACATTTTATTTTGTGCACAGAAGATCTGTGCACATTGCCTTAAGGAGCAGCCAAAAAAGCTGCGCCTTGAGAAGAAGCTCAAGAGGTTTGATGAGAAGCGAGGGGGTTGGGTGTCAGGTCGGAAGAAGAACCACAACATTGCTTCCATCAAGGATGAAGCCATTGTCTTGGTATGTACACTTTTTACTGTATGTTAAGGCCCGGACACACCAAGCTGACACCAAAGAACTGACACTGTTTGCTAATATATTGGGCCAGGATAAAGTTGAATGTTTTTTATATACATTTATTTCTTAATGATGTTTGTATCTTATTAACCAATATACACTTTGATATCAACTTCAAATATAGATATTATTGCAAAGGTATTATTTAATATTCTCTTTTCTTTCAATTTTAAAACTACTCTTATCTTAACTTTCACAGCCAAGGGACACTATTTTAATTTAACTTTTACATTTAAATAAACAGAGCACTTCCTTCACTTCCATGTTGTGTTCCATTATTGCTTATGTACACACTTTTAGACCTTAAAGGTGGGGTAGGTAATTTTGGAGAAACCGGCTCGAGATCGCTAGAATTTGAAAATACACAACCGGAGAAAATCTGCCCCTTCCTCACAGAGCCCCTCCTCCAACACACACGAACGCGCACATGACCAATGAGGGTACGAGATCAGTTTGTGCCCCGATGGAAGGCTGACAGGCAGGTAGGCCATCCAGTTACTTTAGCCGGCTCAGATGATTGGTCGTGCTTTTTACAGTACTACGGCTTCCACAGATGACATTTCTTTATGGATTTGTTGTCAAAGCACTTCAGATATTCATTGCTATCGGGATGTTAAGAGCATTCCATGGAATATAACAAAAAGTGTATCTCGAGCCGGTTTCTCAAACTTACCTACCCCACCTTTAACATCATTGTATGTTACTACTCTATATTACTCTTACGACTGCAGCCACAACATACGGGAACGTTTTACATCGCAGCACGCAATTTCAATTTCAACAGTGTCAAGCTATGCTTGGATTGTGTTACAATTTTAATTATGCAATACTCATTGTAAGTGTTAACTGTTAATTGTTGAGTGGTCACACATTTGTATCTTATTGTACTTTAACTTTAAGATGATCAGGGTTTGAACTGGGACTTAGGATACTGATTTATTTGTATTTTGTGTTTGTCTATAAAATATTTTCTGCTTCTACTGTGTAACCCTTCCTGGTAAATACATGATTCTGCAAAAGCTTAACTCAGCATCTAGGTTTATGAATGGCATACAACTAGATGCTGTCATCAGTAATGTTATAGTTGTAGTTATATAGTTGTTGTTGATGTTTCCTTTCCATTTATTTAAACAGTAAATATATTTTGTCATTACAGCTTGAGAAACTCCATGCCATTGGCTTTAAACCAGTGCTGCTTCTTGGCAAGGAGACCAGGAAGAAGGACGTCAAATGTGAAATCCTAACCCCTCGCTGCACACTGACCGCCTATGCCCAGGATTACCTTGACAAGATAGGCATTTTTTATG